GGAGGAGGAGGAGGAGGAGGAGGAGGAGGAGGAGGAAAAAAAGAGGAGAAAATGGGGAAGAGGGAGACAAAGAAGGTGTGATGGTAGTTGTTGACGATTAGAAGGAGAACGTAGGGGGAAAGGAGGACGAGGGCGTGAAGGTGGTAGTAGAGGAGAAAGAGGAGAAGATGAGGGGGAGATGAGGAGGAGGAGGAAACTGGAACAGGTAGAACAAGGAAAAGAAGGCAGAAAATAATATAGATGTTCTTATGTTTCCGAGGGAAGACCGCGTGGAACCTGGAGGAGAATCACAGAAATCGATGTACAGAAAAGTGAGAAGACATGGAATAACAGCAAGAGGCTAGCCCAGGATAGAGAAAGGTGGAAGGTGTTTGTCCGTGGCCTATACCCTGGTGCAGGGTGAGAAAGGCAATGATGATGATATGCTCCCATCGACACAAATTAGATCGTTTAGGAGGCAGGCTTCGACCATGTCTGTGAGGGCCAACCTGGGCAGGGAGTGATACAACATCCCAGCAGAAAGACCGAGACACTCTATGAACATTCTCCCAAATTGGGAATCGAACTCGGGCCTCCTAATTGAAACGAAGAAGCACGAATTTCTACCCCACAGCGGGTGGTAATCACCTCTGTTCTCCTTTCCCCCAGTATCGCACACCGTTAAAGTGTTGATTTTTTTCTCTGCTGTAACTCGTACAAGCAAACTAACTAAAATTAAAATCATCTGACATTTTAACCTTATCTCTCCCTCCCAGATGAGGTTCGAGGCGGGACCTACCGGCGTCTGTTCCACCCCGAGCAGCTGATCACAGGTAAAGAAGATGCCGCTAACAACTATGCCCGAGGACATTACACCATTGGGAAGGAGATCGTGGACCTTGTACTGGACAGAATCAGGTAAACAGCAATAAATGTATATTACAATTTTTAGCATAATACAAAATGTGATGTATGTGTTCATATTACATATATACATTCATATAGAGAACCGTAGCGTGCGCGTGCACACACACACACACACACACACA